TTCCCAAAGGCCCAGATAGGAAAACATTAAACTCTCAACTTTGAAGAGCGATATGAACCTGGGCTAGGAATTATGCTGGGGCCTCTGACACGGAGGGAGGCTTTGCAACGCGGGGGTTAGCATCAGGGGTTCCAAGCTGATCCCTTTGCTGGTGCCTACTAGCTCCCCAGCCTTGACTTAGCTCCTTTTAACCTCTTCTTGCCAAGATTTTCTCAAGGGCAAAATGTGGAAGGGCAGAACCTATTCATAGTGTTGGGATAGAATCAAACAATAATATATGTAAGGCCTTGAGTTCAGTGTCTGGCATATCGCAAATGTTAAATCAGTATTTCCTATTACTTATTGTCATTCTTTTCAATGCTTAAGAAAGACCTCCAGCAGCTGACCTGAGACCCAAGAGAGCAACTAAGATTTCAGTTTGCCTCTGTGTGCCAGGCAGCCATAGCACTCCCCAGCCAGGGAACACTGGGTTCAGGGGGAATAGTGTTCTGACAGAGCCACACATCGCCCGGCCTCCTGAGAGACAGCAAAAGCATAGGCAGACTGCTGGGTTTGGAATCCCAGCTCTGCTCCCCTGTGTGAGCTTCTGCAAGTTACTGAACCTCTCTGTGCTTCAGTTTTCTCATCTGTAAAATGGGCCGCTGGCAGCCTTAAATGAACTAGGGTGTGGCGATTTCTTTAAATGATGCCACGGCATGGTGACTGCTCAGTATGTTAGATGTCAAGGTCATCATCAGACTTCCCAGACCTTGCCTCGGCCTGGGGCTGGTTTCTGTTCAAGGGGCTTAGGGAGAAACTGGTCTCTGAGATTGTATTCATCTCAGTTCTCCTGGAATGGATGCAGGGAGAGGGTGGGGACATGGGGGCCAGACTTCTGGGAACAGCACTGATAGCTTGTGGGGTGTACCCAGTCCTATTTGTCCTTCAAACTAGGATCTGCTGAAGACAGGTTTTCCTCAGTCTAAATCTGAATAGAACCTTTGTACTGCGGGCAGGTCTGATGTCGAGCTGTGTATGTGAAAGGAGGAGTCTTTGTGTACTGAAGGTCTGCAGAAAATGTGCAATGTACACACATACTCAGGAGCCAGAGCTGAGAAGATGCCAAGAGAGATAGAGATAGGTGAGGGGGCCCCACCCTGATTATTTCTCCAACTGTGGGCCTGCAGGAATCTCCCTTGGCTCAATGATAGTTTTAAAAAAAAAAAGGGGGGGGGGTGTTGGGGGAGAATCACATTCTGACCAATAACAGACCTGAAGTTCCAAATGTCATCTGCTTAACAGCTAGAAGCAGATCCTCCTGTGAGCCAGACTCTCCTCCAAGTAGCAGAAAGGCTCTACCAAGCCACCCGTGCACCAGCGCTACAGCTGGCATTGCCATGGGGTCCTGAGCACTGCCCCCCAACCCAAGCACTTCCCCTCTGGCCAAGGATCTGAGTAGTGAATAAGCTGCTCCCTTCACTGCGGCCAGGATGTAGTTTGAAGCGTCATTTCCGCTTGTGAGCTTTGGGTTTGCTGTTCTCAGCCAAGGGCACCGTCCGTGAGTGCTCTCTGATGACTCTGACCAGAGTTCCGTGTGGACCCTTGAAATGCGCCAATTCCACATGCTGCTCTCCCATCACCAGGAGTGGCGGGGGAGGTTTTGGAGAGGTGGGTGGTCTCTCTCCTCCTACCTGGAAGGTAGATTGTTTAAAGACAGCCTCATGCTGAGAAGCAGGTGTTTTGCTAAGTCCTGTGGACCCCCAAGCCCATCCCATTCGACTCCCAGGGGAGAGTGGTGCCTACGACACTATGGGCGGGAGCTGGTGTGGCCCAGCTGGTGGACATATTTTTGTTAAGGTCTCATGAGGTCTCTTTATTTATTTTTACACCTTTATTGGAGTATAATTGCTTTACAATGGTGTGCTAGTTTCTGCTTTATAACAAAGTGAATCAGTTATACATATACATATGTTCCCATATCTCTTCCTTCTTGCGTCTCCCTCCCTCCCACTTGCCCTATCCCACCCCTCTAGGTGGTCACAAAGCACCGAGCTGATCTCCCTGTGCTATGTGGCTGCTTCCCACTAGCTAGCTATTTTACGTTTGGTAGTGTATATATGTCCATGCCACTCTCTCACTTCGTCCCAGCTTACCCTTCCCCCTCCCCGTGTCCTCAAGTCCATTCTCTAGTAGGTCTGTGTCTTTATTCCTGTCTTGCCCCTAGGTTCTTCATGACCATTTTTTTTTTTAGATTCCATATATATGTGTTAGCACAAGGTATTTGTTTTATCTCTTTCTGACTTACTTCACTCTGTATGACAGACTCTAGGTCTATCCACCTCCTTACAAATAGCTCAATTTCGTTTCTTTTTATGGCTGAGTAATATTCCATTGTATATATGTGCCACATCTTCTTTATCCATTCATCCAATGATGGACACTTAGGTTGTTTCCATCTCCGCACACCCTCGAGCTTCTAAACTTTTATGAACTGTTGGACCTCGCCCTGGGTGACAGACACTTGGGATGACGCCCACTGCTAATAGACCAACATCTCAGAGAGAGGGCCCCGGAAGGAGAGCCATAGTACCTGGGACATTATCTAGTCCAGTGTTTCTTGAACTACTTCCTCTTCCTCCTCTTCCTCTTCCTCTTGTCCTGTTCCTCCTTCTTGTTCTGCCACTCCCCCGCTCAGGTGCCTTTTAAGAAACTTGTTTCCCTAGTTGCCCTTACCCCATGGCATTTTATTATAATTGGACAGATATACTGTATGTATATATGTTTATACACTGTGACGTTAGGAGGACCACAAACCATAATATCTAAGTTATTTTTGGTCCCCTAAGAATCACTTTCCATCTCACGGAAGGTGATGCTCTCTCTCTTGAGAATGCACCCTCTGGCCTGAGACTTTTTGGCCATCCAGAACCAGCTTTGACTAGTGGGAGTGGCTTGGGGTGAGCTGGGGGTTAGCGCATGTATATAACAAGCGCGGTTGTCCAAGCCTCATGGTTCTCGCTCAGTATGAATGCCAGCAAGACTGGGCCACTCTCATTCCTCCAGCTGCCAACTTTCCACTTTCACAAATACTGGATGACTTATCTTTGGGCAAACATCTTGGTCTGCATTTAAGATCGTTTCCTTGCTTTGTCTTTTTCTTTAAAGGTGAAGTTGTTAGGTACAAAAGAGCCAGAATGTTACAGCATCTTGAACACTGCTAGTCAATATCTGGGTGAATATACCCAGAGATGCGTCAGAGAGTCCATCTCTCATCTGCATCTCTGCCAGCACTGAGCAGTATTCTTTTTTATAAGTATTTGCTCATTTGAAAGGCAAGATGCTAACTCATTGTCGCTTGAATTAGCCATCTTATGATGACCAGCCAAGGTGAAATTTTGGATCCTTTCGTCTTGCTGACAGGTGAGAGATACATCAGTTTCCTCTCAGTAGTCCATCCTACTGACTTGTCATGCTTCCCCTGTCCTCCGGGAAGTTTTATCTACACTGGGATCTGTTCCTGGACTGTCTGTTCTGAATTATTGACGTCTTGATGATGACATCTGCTTGACTTTTGGAAATAGGTTTCCAATGAAGATTCTTGGAAGGCGATTGCACTCCAGGAGTGGATTGATGTGTCTGCACTTTGGCAAACATGTATGCAGACACCTGGACTGTCCTCTCTGCCTGGGGCCAAGATGTGGTGAGCTCTTGGTGGAGACACCCTCCTGAGCCGTCCTAAGGGTGCAGAATGCCACACTGATGAGTCATTGAGGCTCAGACAATACCCTGAAGGTCTAATTTTGTCTAATTTGGCTCAAGTTCACCTTTGGTCAGTGTCAGCTCTAGTATGAAAGATCCAATGCATGTTGAACTGAGCAAAGGAAAAACAAACAAGCAGGAAACGTCATTCATTTTCTAAGTGCATATTGAGCGCCTACCAAGGTGTCAGATATAAAGAAGTTTCAGACTGGGTCCCTGGCCTTGCAGAGCTCACAATCCAGGTGGGAGATAGGTGTGCAAATTAGTGGCTGAGATATAGGGTGATCTGTTCTAAATAGATGCACACTAAATTAGTAGAAGGGACAGAAGAAAGTGCCCAACTCTGTCTAGTGAGATGAGTAAGGGTCAGTAAAAATACAAAAAGAGAACATGATGTTTAAGCTCCATTGTACAGAACAAGTTAGAGATCACCAGGTAGACAAATGGGGAAGGGCATCCTGGATGGAGGGAACAGCATGTACAGAGGCATGGAGCTCTGAAAGAGCATGGCATTCTGTGCAGAGGTGGGAAGCAAAGCGTGTCAAAAGGAATAGTGGGACTTGAATACCATCCCGAGGTGGTTTCCTTATTTTTGGTCAAAGATGCCTTTGAAGTTTATAAAGCACGGTCAGATATGCTTTGGGGAAAAAAGCACGGTCACATATGATTTGGGGAAGTAAACTGTCTGGAAGAGAGTGTGGAGGTGAGAGTATGAGGGCAAATGCCATTTTACTAGTAACATTGTAATTATAACTAGGAACATTCATTCTTGGAAGCATTTTCCCACCACAGTCTTTTTGGAAATGGACTAGCAATTGGATTAACAAAAAAGGTAGAGCAGCCACAGGTATTTAAGAAGTGAAATCAGTAAGACTTGATGACTAAATGTATGTGTGATTGGCAAGGATGAAGGAAGAGATAGGGATGAAGATGTGATTTCTCTCCTGTACAGCTGAGCAATTTGGGGTCCAGGTACAGCAGGTGTGAAGCTGTGGCCATTTAAGTGGGAGGTGTTGGTTGGGCATTTAGACTCAAATACTGACAAATGATTAGGAATATGTGGTATCAGAGGTACTCACGGTTGCGAATTTCTTGTATTTCTTTTGGTATTTTAAGAATGAAGCCCAATTTTCAGAAATGGTTTCAGCTCTTCATTGATTGAGGTCATGCCATGGAGAAAAGCATGGAGATGTTTATTTCATTGGGTACAGTAGGTCAATTTCAGCTACTTTTCAACTCGTATTTATATCTTCTCCTTCCAGGGGATGGTCAGGTGGATTTTGATGAATTCATGACGATCCTTGGCCCCAAACTGGTGTCTTCAGAAGGCCGCGATGGTTTTCTTGGAAACACAATAGATAGCATATTCTGGCAGGTGAGTAAGAATTTTTTGAAAAATTAAGTTTGACAGTAAACATGTGTCTGGGACTCACATTGACTGTGAATTCTTGAGCTTCTGTTCAGCACGTGAAGCTCCCTTCTGGGCTTGAGTGACATACATTCCTTGAACTGGACATCTAAGTTGAGATCCATACTAGGCCCCCTGAACAAAGAATCAAAACTATACTCATTTAAGGCTTGGAAGAGTGAAATATCTCCCTATTTTCCCTTATATCAAAAATAGTTTTACATTTTGGAGAAATGAGATTCCTCCACTTCTGATTCACAAAAGACTTTTTCCTGGGGACACTTAGAAAGGACATATTGGTACTACCTGAGCCCGCTCTGTCCCTGGTTCCAGCAGATCCTTGCTGGGAGGATGGTGGCATGGTTGCCTTGTGTGTTTGGACCCTAGCAATACTCTTAATAGGACAGAATGGTTTTATCTAAAAATTTGCATTTGATGCTTCTCAATTTGCTTCTATTTCTGTCTTGTAAAATCTCTTAGGAAATTCCAAATAATACCTTCAAATGATTAACTGTGCTATAAATCATTTCTCTATATTAGTTCTTTAGTCTTAACATGTGACTATTATTTTGTGACTATGGAATTTGGGGAATGACTCATCAATAATTATTTTAAAAAATTAGGGACTCCCCTGGCGGTCCAGTGGTTGGGACTCCATGCTCCCACTGCAGGGGGCGCGGGTTCAATCCCTGGTCAGGGAAGTGGGATCACGCATGCTGCGCAGCGTAGCCAAAACAAAGAAGAAAAAATTGAGTTAATTTGTCAAGTTAAATTGAATTACTGTTTAAACATGTAAAATACCATTCAGACACGGTGTGGTTTCTTTAATTTCTTGGTGTGTTTTTTTCCTTAACCAAAGATACTTCTCTGTATCTCTAGATAAGGATTGCAGTTGACATGTATCTCTAGCCTTATTCTGCTACCCATCTTGCATATAACCAACAAGTACTTAGTAAGAACTTGTTCCTGGCCCTGTAGTCTAACAGTCATTATGGGTTTTACAAAAGATGCTTAAGACACAGTCCTGGCTGTTTAAGAATTTGGTTGGGGAAACACAACTAAGAGAGAAAACAAAGAGTAATTAATTGGCTTGATGGTTACTCGGCTGTAATCTCCTTGCAGCCAGGGACTTCATTGTTGTGATGCCCTCGGCAGTTAGCCCATGTGCTCAGCAGACCCTCAATAACTTTTCTTTAAATAAAATGAATAGAAGTTCAAGAAAGGAGACACATGTGGTCTCGAGAGGTCAGATAAGGCTTCAGGAAATGGGGGTACTTGCTTCAAACCTTGAAATAGGTGGGGGATTAAGTGAGAAAAGAAAGAAAAGAGAGCATCCCCAGCCTGTCACAATGAGAGTTTGAAAAAAGGTGGAGGCAGTGAGCACAGGAAAGTCATTGACCATGAGGAAGATACGGTTGAAAGGGAAAGAGCTCAGGATCCACTGGCAGAGTGGATTTAGAGCCTGAGGAGAGAAGGCTTGAGATGACTGACTCCAAGTTTCCCAACTGGCTCCTACTGCCAGGAATACGATCATAGAGAAAAGACGTCTTTGTGGAGTTGAATTCTAAATTGGACACGTTGAGGGTCAGTCACCAAGGAAAGTCTATGCACAGCTGAAATCAAGGATGGATCATGGGTGAGAGGCCAGGGCTGGGAACCCAGATTTGGGATTTATCAGAGCCAGTGGGTGAAATTATAGTCAAGGATGAGCTCAACAAGGAAAGTCGTATACCTGAAGATGACCAGAGAGACAGGACCTTGTCCTGGAGGATATCCAGGGCAGGGGAGAGTGAGACATGGCGCCTGACCTCCACAATGCTGATACCCATCAGGAGAACATCATCTCCCTGTGGTTATGATCAGCCCTGACTCTCCCTAGAGAAGGACCTCCATGACCCTACTTGCCACATGATCAGAATATTTCAGCGCTCAGGTAACCTTTCGATGTGGAAAGATAGACGGGTGGACTCCACTGGCCAAAATCAAAAGTGAGCACATAGTGGGACTTCCCTGGGGATCCAGTGGTTAAGACTGCGTGCTTCCAATACAGGGGGCACGGGTTCAATACCTGGTCAGGGAACTAAAATCCCGCATGCCGCACAGTGTAGCAAAAAAAAAAAGAAAAAAAAAAGTGAGCATATAGTTAACAAGACGGAGAAACATTATTTCCCACCTGGCATCTTGCAGCCCATACAGATGTACTCTGTTTGGACATCTGGGAGTTACTTCTCTTCTCGGTTTCTCTTCTTCCCTGCGCTTTCTGAATGCTTTCTACCCTTTGAATGCTTTCTACCCTTTGCCTCTGTCTTCAGGGCCCACTCTAGCCTAGAAGGATGCTGCAAGCCCTTCCAGGCTCTAAGCATTCTTCCTGGCCCCGATCCTGAAGGGGAGGGAGCTGCAGGTACTTAATTATATCTTAAGTGGAGGCCTCCCATCTGCCAGATTCTTCCCAGTAGAGCATCTACACGAGGAAATATTTCTTTTCTAATATATTGATTGCCTCTTGCATAATTGGGACATGCTACTATGCTCATGAAGTCTCTGTGTTTCTGCCTTACCAAAGACCCTCCCCCTCACCCAGGGTGATAAATGGGATGGGAAAAAGAGAATAAAACGGGACAATGCAATTCTGAAATATCTAAACGAATGTGGGACCGTGTGGACTGGTGGCTGTGACTTCCTCTCCTGCTGGTGCTCCCCCAGCTCAGACTTCGACGACTAGCAAAGGAGAAAGACCGTCGACCCATTCTTGATAGTCAGCCTTCTCTGCTGCCTGCCCCCCGTCTGCCCATTCAGTGACAGTGTGAGAAAACTGTACTCAGAGCATCCAGAGCATCTGGTCCTTCCTGGAAAAAAAGCTCATATTCCCAGCACTTGAGTGATTTTTCAGGTTTAAAAGAAAGCTCTGTGTGTGCACAGGTGTATGTGTGCACGTGCATCTGTGTACACGTGAGTGTTTACTTTGCTGCTGTGGTTGAAAATGGTCTAGAAGAGGAGCAGCAGAAAGGCAGCTTTCTGCCTCTGAATTTCCAGGCAGGAGATTTTGATATCAGGAGTTACTGATATTCTGGAAAGGAGAAGACCATCCATTTGAGACACTGACAAGGCTTCCTGTGAGGGACAAAATCAGTTTCCTGTGGAAACAGACATGATGGTACACTTGGAAGGCCATATTAGTGATCTATTGTTGCCTAATATATTACACCAAAAGCTAGTGACACAAAACAGTAAGTATTCACTAATCTCACTGTTTCTGTGGGCCAGGAATTCAATAGCAGCTTAGCTGGGTGGTTCTGGTTCAGGGTCTCTGATGAGGTTGCAGTCAAAATGCTGGCTCTGGCTGTGATCATCTGAAGGCTTGACTGGGGCTGGAGAATGTGCTCTCAGGTGCTCGCTCATGTGGCTGGCAAGGTGATGCTGGCTGTTGGCAGGAGGCCTCAGGTCCTTGCCACACGGACCTCTCCATGGTGCTTCTTGAGTGTCCTCGTGACATGGCAGCTGGCTTCCAGAAAAACAAATGCTCCAAGAGAGTACAAGGCAGAAGCTGTCATGTCTTTTCTGACCTAGCACTGGAAGTCAAACTCCATCATTTCTGCAATATCCTGTTGGTTACACAGGTCATCCCCATTCGGTGGGGAGAGGACTACCTCCCAGTGATTACCGGGAGGCAGGGGTCATTGGGTACCACCTTGGAGACTGGCTACCACAAAGGGGGATGATTCTGTAATTGGACTTCAACTTCTGACCCGACATTGCTGCCACAGCCTTTCCTTTTCCCTAGGCTTTGGTTTCTTCCTACCTTAGAGGAAAACTGTGACCATGGCTGTGCTCTGTGTTCTGAGAAGTGATCCCACCAGGCCCTAGGCTCACCTTGCTAATTAAATAATTAGCTCTCAGTGCTCGCTCCTTACTGGCATTCTAGCCTACAGTGCCAGGGGTAAATAAAATAAAATCAAACGGGATTCTGCAAAAGCAGCTATGTATCGGTTGGCGCTCATCCCAAAAGCTTTGAGCCTCCGGCTCTTTGTGAGAAATTGGTATCAGCGAGGGGGGAATGTAATTGGCTATTAACACAGCCTCCTTTCCAAAGAGGCTGGTCTGAGGGCTACGACTCAGAGTCTCCATCCTCCCAGGATACTCGGTCCGCTGGGTGTGAGGCTCACAGATTTCTTGGTAGCCAGTTCAGAACCTCTCTCTTACATAGCAAATAATAACTTGTGAAATTCTTATTGTCTTCTTTCCCTTCACTCATCAAAGTCCTGTGCGTTGGCTGTTACTGCTGTGATGTAGTTGAGCAGGGCTTGTGAAATTATTTTTGGAATCAGCCTTAGGACTTGGTGTATGTAAATGGTAGAGAGGAGGGGAGGGAGGGGCTGAGGGGGCCAGGCTCAGGATGGGCGGGGAGGGCTTTCATGCTCATTGCTTCAGGTCCATTGCAATCGCAGAGGAGCAGGGTCCTCAAAGTCACTTTGTTCCGCCAGTCACTCGCACCACACACCATGAGGCCACTTGTGCCCAAGACTGTGTCTTTAACGCAACAAATGCTCCTGGGTGGAAGGAGCATCTGCGTCTCAGCTTCACCTGAGTCCCCACAGCAGCCCTTCATCTTTTCTCCTCCTTGACCTCCAGCGCTGTGCTAGCTGTGTTCCGCCGTGAGCTTGCAGACAGCACACAATGGCAAAGGAAATGACAAGCATCACGGGAGATCATGCAGCACTACTGATCTATCCTAGGTCCAGCCAACACTTCCATTAAACTCTTCTCCCTCTGAAGAAAGAGATGAGTCCTGCCCTTAGCTAGGAGAGGAGCCAGTGGTGTCGGCTTCTTTTTTTTTTATTTTTTATTTATATTTACTTATTTTTGGCTGTGTTGGGTCTTCGTTTCTGTGCGAGGGCTTTCTCTAGTTGTGGCAAGCGGGGGCCGCTCTTCATCACAGTGCGCGGGCCTCTCATTGTCACGGCCTCTCT